CAGACCTGCTATGTTATATGGGGCAGAGTGTTGGGCGGTTAAGAAGACTCATGTGCGTCGTCTGCATGCGGCGGAGATGCGGATGTTACGATGGATGTGCGGGAAGACAAGGTTGGATAGGATTTCGAATGAGGTTATCCGACGTCAAGTAGGTATGGCACCGGTGGAAGACAAGTTGCGGGAAGCGAGGTTGAGGTGGTTTGGCCATGTGAGACGGCGGGATGCTGACGCCCCTGTACGGACATGCGAGAGGATTACGGTTATCGGGGGAAGTAGGGGAAGGGGTAGACCTAAGAAGAATTGGGAGGAGGTGATAAGACAGGATTTAGGACTTCTCGACCTGACTGAGGATATGGCCCTAGATGGGAACCTTTGGAGAACTAGGATTAGAGTAGCTGGATAGGAGCTCGGTGTTGTAGGGGTTGTTTTGTAGTGTGTTGTATTTGTTGGGAATCTTTGGCTATTGTTTGTACTTGTTGCTTATACTTGGTGCCTTATCTGTGCTATACTGTGTTCTCTTCCATATTTTTGTGCAGGTGGAGCCGGGGGTCTCTTGGAAACAGCCTCCCTACTTTCGAGTAGGGGCAAGGTCTGCGTACACACACCCTCCCCAGACCCTACTGATGTGGGATTCAACTGGGTTGTTGTTGTTGTTGTTGTTTTATGTATCTAATTCAGAAATTCATTAAGTAACCTTATTCCAATTTTATTTGGGTTGTTGGAGGATAAGTTCATCGAGGATATGGTTACCATTTGAAACCTTCAATTTGAGTTACTGAATTCTTTTGGGTTATAATTGACTTACTGAATTCTTTTGGGTTGCTTTTATGTAGTGGGATTCATTCCTAATAGATATGCAATGGATTTTGACTATGCACATTTTATGGTGACCGAAGGATGTAAAGCTAAAGAGATTCCGGCCAGTTCACCTTCAAGAGAAGCATACCGAAAGCAGCTTGCGGAGATCTTTAACATGAACCGGAGGATCCTTGCTTTTAAGAACAAACCACCCATCCGCCCCCCCTTTGGATGGTTTTCTGAATGAGAACTCTTCCGCTTACCTGGCCAAACCTACAAAACCCCGTCGCCACATTCCTCAGGTAGGCAAGTAGTGCTTGATTGTTCTTGAGGTTAGCGGGTCAATGATAGAAAGGATTCTTTTTTTCTCACAATGAATGATT